TAGATTGTGCTAGTGGAAATGTTAAGAATGAAGGGGTGAATTGTGTCTTTAATGATTGGTGATGACGAGGATGGTGAAGAGGAGGTCCATGATTAGATTTAGATGCTTCAGTTATAGCAATGCCCTCCGTGTGAGAAGGGGAGGTTGATGATGATGAGGATGACAAAGGTGCCAACAAGAGCTACTAGGGTAAGAGATGGAGGCAACAAAGAAGATACAAGGTCCGCAAAATCTTATCTTATTCTTAAGAATATAAGAAAAGAAACCAGCTCTTGAAGAAAATTCCATAATGAAATTTAGATTAAAAAAAAAAGAGAATTCCACGAGATAAAGAGCTCTGTTTACATAAAAAGAAAAAGTCGTGAACACGAATTTTGGGAGGTTTATTTTCTTCCTCTCTTAGTATTAATGCCTTTGTCCGGAGGCCTTCTTGCACCAGCTCTGAAAGAGAAAAGACTGTCTTAAGGCAAGATTGGGAGGGACATCTGAATCGGCTTTTTTTCCTTTGTGGAATTTAGTAAGATTGGAGGGACATTGCTATAAAAATGCATTAAGAAAAAATTTAAATAAAATAATATCATTTTTTTTTCTTGAGGGGGTGGGGGAGATTATTGGGGAACATGACTAGGTTTAGATGCTTCATATACGAAAATGATCTCCATATGAGAAGGGGTGATTGACGATGATGAGAATGATGAAGGTGCCAATGGAGGTACTAGTGTGATGTAACAAACTAAAAATTTAAAATAAACTTATTTAAAAATATCCAAATTTTGGGATAGACGATAACACTGTGCATGCGGGCTCCGTAGCTCTAGGGGTTTAGAGCACCATGACACTAAGCACTAAAAATATTTTTTAAATATATTTTCCTCCACTCACACTCCCTTCCCCACTATTTTGTTTCTTGCTAGATAAGGAGCCGAGGAAGGGAAGAAGGGAAGGGAGAGAAAGGAGGAGAGAGAATGCTCACCAAGACTTTTTTGTCCATTTCGCTTATGTTATAAAAAAATACTCTGATCATTATAAGTTACTATATTCTTACTCATGCTTTTGATGATTTTGATTTCTATGATTTTAATCTTCTCAAAATTAATAAAATAATATTTTCTCCTAATTTATCAGGCTTATGTGTAATTTTTTGTATATAATATATATGATCTTCATGAGTATTTTGACTGTAACATTATTAAATTTTATTGAATAAATTGAAAGCTATAATTTTTTGAAGTAAATGCATAGTATTTAAATATTGTAGATTTCTCTTTATTTTATGGATTATTATATTTTATATATGGCATTGACCTATATTTCATAGAAAAATAACATCACTAATATGAAATAAATATGACATTTTCATGTAAACAAGAAATGTTGGATATTAACTTCATAATTAATACGGTTTGACTCTTAAAACATATTATTTTGCATATGAGGGTAAGTCGATAAACTTTCCTTAAAATAAAAGGCTGGTGGTATGATCCTGATTGTAGTATGTAACTGATGAGTTTTTATTGCGTCCTCTCACCGTCAAAAAACTCGGTTTTTGCTCGGTATTGCTACGTATTATTTGATAATAACGAGGAATATCATCATGTGAAGACCAATACCGAGTTATACCGAGCTATATCGAGCAATACCTAGCAATACAAAAAAATACTGAGTTTTTTCTAGGAAAAACTAGGTATTTTTTTGTATTGCTCGGTATTGCTCGGTATAACTTGGTATTGGTCTTCACATGATGATATTCCTCGTTATTGTTTGGTATTGCTCGGTATTTGCTCGGTATTTCTCGTTTTTTAGCGCGATTTTAGCTCTAGGAGGACGTATCTCTACATCAGGTGGGAGGACGCAATAAAAATTCGTAACTGATTGATTGATTATATCGATGCGTAAAGAGTGATGACTTTTAAAGATTTATTCAAAGTCACGTGTGAATTAATTTAAGTTAATAAATAATTATGATAAGTAAAGACTAATGACCAATTGGGAGTGAGGGGTGAGTCGACGTGCCCCACCACCCACATGTGAATTTGAATATTCTTATTAAAATTAAAAAAGATAAATTTTAAAATCCTCAGAAATAGACAAAAAAATAATTACTATATTATATTATCTTAAACCAAAATTAAAAACTGTAAAGCCCATCCAAATTAAATTTTAATAATATATTTCAAAAATTCGCTCAAGAATCACGTGCTGCGAATCCGGAAAAGAGGCCAGAGAAGTCGAGCTTCTTCGTCGCCTGCAGCCTCTTCATGAGCCAGTATATCAAGGAGAAGGGCAGCCTTGCTGATCTAGGGCTCGGTTTGCCTACTCGCGTTCTTGATTCTGCTCCATTGGATATTTCTCGATCTCGAAAGAAGCTTTGTGGTGAATTTTTTTGTCATTTACTTCGCTTAATTGCTCCGTTCTTCGAATCATGAAACGCTTTCTGTTCTGTTTATTTATTTATTTTTTTTCTGCTTGAAATTCTTAGGCTTTGTTTGGATTAAACGGTAGTTTTCAAAATGAAGTGAAATCCCGATGAATTATGAGTTTCTTATGAATCTGCTGCCATCATTTTGCAATTGTTTCCTCTTTTTTTTTTTCATTTCCTTTCACCCAATTTGTTAAATTAATATTCGATCTATCGTCATGCATCTAAGATTCCATTGCTGATTTTTACAGGGAAACCAGACGCTTATCGTCCACCGACGACCATGAGCTTGCTCCCGGGAGTAGTAGGCGTCGCCGACGATGAAACTAAAGACAAGAAATCCATGGAGCTTTCCCCCCAGAGTATTGACTTTAGGCCAGCGAAAGCAGAGACCAAGTATGTCCCGAGATTTCTGCTACGGCTTTATATTTGCTTATAACTTCTTACTCTTGCTCATCTTTGTGGAGCCTGATGTGTGGATTTCAGGGAGCAGGAGAAGTCCCAGCTCACCATATTCTATGGCGGAAAGGTGCTTGTGTTCGATAACTTCCCTGCTGAGAAGGCTAACGATCTGATGCAGCTCGCGAGCAAAGGGCAGAACTTTTCTTCTGGGACAACCTCCTTGGTTGCCTCCGGTGCCGCAACACCTGCGGTGGATGCCTAGAGTTCCCCGGCGTCTGGTAAGCCTCCGGCGAGCTTCCCAGCCCAGTCTCAACCCAACTTTTCTGGTAAGCTCATGAATTCTGCTTCTGCAAACTTTTCAGTGTTTCATTCTCAACATACTCCTTGTCTTCAAGATGATCTCTATTCTATGATGTTCTAATTTGCTTGTAAAACAGACCTACCCATTGCAAGGAAGACATCACTGCACCGCTTTTTGGAAAAGAGGAAAGACAGGTAGGAAGCTCAATTTCATCTTAGCCAATTTGTGAAAACTATTTTCAATTCATTTTCTATCAATTCCGTAAACCGTAAATTCAGTCTTAAGAAAACCAATTGACTGGAACTGATCGAAATCCTACCTAATTCCTACCTAAATCCAGCAACCAAACAAAAGAGCTAACTTTACTGTGAAGAATTTTTTACTTTTGTGATCTTTGTTGAAAAACTTTCAGGATCAATGCGATGTCACCTTATCAACCGATCAAAAGCAGTGGATCGAAGGATGTTACGACTGTGAAAGAGGAGGAGATCAGGCAGCCATGGCTGGGCTTGGGATCGCCTGAGTCGAACCCTGGATTGAGCTCGGACTGCAGCAGATAAATTTAAACTTTTTTGTAGTTAACCAGACTGCTCTAAAGGTTGTGTAATTGAGCTTAGTTGGATGATCAATGGTGCGATTTCTGACTAAGTATGGCTAAATTGTTGTAGTTAGGGAAGAGATCACTAGATCTTTTGAAGAGGTACAGAGTGCTATAGTTTTGTTTGATTATTAAGATGTTTTTAATCATTATCATTCTTCTAAGTCATTTCTTAATTGACTATTCATGGCTGCCAAACACAAGATAATTAAAGGTTAATTAAGTAAAAAGAGCGTGATTGAGATTAAATTTTAAAAGGAATAAAAATGTAAAATTAATTTAGATTTTCATAGAAAATCTAAAATTATTTTGCATTTTCTAAAAAAATGTAAAATTATTTTTGGTTTGTAAAGAAAACCTAAAATCTAAATTAGAACATAATTTTTATACATATTTAAATTATATTTTTTTATACATAATTATATTATAATTATTTAATATACACAATTAAGATAGAATTGTTGAGTGAGCGAATGGAATGGTTGAGGGCATCTCCAAATGAAAAACTCATTTTATACTTCAAAATGCAGTAACTTATCTCCAACCGAACTTCATTTCTAACAAAAAAAATTTATTTGTATATTCTTTCTCAATTGAACTCAACATAAAATTGCTCGTCTTTCTCCACTTCTTCATTTATTTGCTTCCGCCATTTCATTATTAAAAAGAAAAACGTTTGCATCGGACTTCATGTCGCAAAAAAACGACTGTAAATGACGTTTGGGTGTAGCTTGAGGCAGACGAGAAACATCTATTTGCAATTTAGTTGGAGATGATCTAAGCATCAATATGCCTGAGAACAAATATGCCATCTCAAAAAAGGCTTACACAAGAAAAAACCAATACCCTTATCTAGAATGTTTGATAATGTAATATGTGGTTCTTTATAATATAATATAATATAATTAATTAATTAATTATATGTGATTATTTAATATTCCCTTTAAATGATAATTAGGGTTTTGTTGAGATTACTATCAAATTTTATGCTATTACACAATTATCATCTTGCTAAAAGTGAAAAAAAAAATCAAATTGTTATAAAAAATACTTTTGAGCAATAAATTTTTTTATTTTTGTATTTTGATCTTGTATGAAATTAATTTAATAATTTATGTTTAGTCTATTATCTTTTTAAAAAAAGAAAATTTATTTAATTATATATAAGATCATGACAACTCTTAAGTATAATTTATTTTATTTTATTTTAATTTGGCCAATTATTATTTTTTTTTTTCGCAATCTCAGCGCTTTTCTTGGACTACAGAAAAACTAGTCCAAAAAAAAATCTCATTAAAAACAACAGTACCCAACGTACAGCAGATCGCAAGAGCTTCTCATAAATTCCTTGTAAAAAAAAAAAAAAAGCCGATTTGCAGACTTTTCAATCTATATTCAAGCCTTCTCCTTTTCTTTCACTGATCTCTCCTCTTTTCTTCCCTCGATTTCGAGGGATTTTTGTTTTTTTCTTTTTCAATTTCGTTACATTTGTCTTTCCCTTTTTCGTTACACTTTGTAAACCCTAACACCTTTCTGCTTTTCCGATTCGATCGGATTAGTATTATTCTTAATCTTTCTTGGAATCAAACGCTAGGCAGTGAAAGAATGCAGCAGCAGCGGCTCAAGCAGCAGCAGGCACTTCTTCAGCAGCAGGCACTTCTACAGCAGCAGCAGCAGTCACTTCTTCAGCAGCAGCAGCAGCAGCAGCAGTCTCTTTACCATCTACCTGGACTTTTAGCTCCCCCACAGGTATTTCCTCTCTTATACTCTTATTGCTCCTTTAGCTTCAGGAAACCTTATTTCATGAAGGTCGTTGGCTTCTTGTTTGATTGTTTCCATGTGTGGTTTTCTCCATTGATCATCTTTTTTGTGTTATTACTGCTTTTGCCGGGGAATTTAGATTTTTGAGCTTGCGTTTAGTTGTTTTTATGTTGGGCATCTTGTACTGTTCGATTCTTTTTTTTTTTTTTTGGACTTTTAAATTAGGTTTTGCTGATGAGTCGGGCACTGGGCGTGCTTTTCGCACTGTTTATATTTTTATGTCTGTTTTATTTTGTTCTGAGATATTGAAATTTACTTATGGCACACGAGGATTCAGCGCTCCAGTTCCGACTTTTGTTGCGGATGGAGGTTTCTATTATTGGCTAATGGGCTTGTGTACGCGCAGCTTTACTTTTTTTGCTTTTGATGCTATATCCGACCTTCCATCTTAATTCAATGTCTCATATGAGAGTATTAGTTTTCCTTCATTTTGATATTCCTTGAAGCAAATGCCCCTAGAACATGTTTGGCAATTAAGGCTTTGTTTGGGAAGGCTTTTTTATTGCTTCTTAAAGCGGCTTTATAATATAAAAATTTTAATTTTTTACTAAAAAACAGCTCTAAGAAGCAGTAAGAAAGCCCTGCCAAAAGAAGCCTAAGTCGTAGTAACTTCCACTATGCCATTTTCTTATACTTGCGATCCTTTTGGTTGATATATCTTTCTAGGTAGGTTTAATGCCTAATTCATTCTAGCTTTTAGTTTTTTTTAGGGTGTCCTGCACTTGCTAATGGGCGTGCTATGGTACTTAGTATAAACTGATTGGCTAATTTGATGCCTGGCCATTCTATATAAGGATAACTTATTCAAAACCTTATTTTGCTTTGATACTTGATGTGATAAGGCTGGGCCGTTGGTCTTCCATTTTTTCTAGTATTATTGTTTCTTATTGCGGACTTGGTTTAGTGCGTTCATTTCTTGGAGAATATCCTTTACGTAGGGATTTTTTGTTGTTCTTTTACCCTTTTATTTTGCAGATTGAGCCAATTCCGAGTGGAAATCTGCCTGCTGGATTTGATACAAGTTCATGCCGCAGTGTGTGAGTGTTATACGAGCCTTTAGCTTGTTTTTAAATTTTATTGTGTTGCTTTTTATGTCTTCTAGTGACCGGACCCTTTTCCTTTTTCACATTAGCTATTATAGATCTCTTATAAGGTTCTCCTTGCTCCCTTTTTTTATATTTTCTCTATAATTTATTCTAACTTCCTTTCCTTGATGTAAAATTTAAAAAAAAAAAAGTTTTTTTTTGGTAAGCATTACACGATATGATTGACATTTTGATTAATTACCTTTGCACCCGCAACACATTATGTATCATCATTTAGTTTTCTGCTGTATTTTGCTTATATTTTGATGCAGTTATGTTGGAAATATTCATATTCAAGTTACAGAAGCACTTCTTCAAGAGGTTTTCCAAAGTACTGGTCCTGTTGAGGGATGCAAGCTTATCAGGAAGGAAAAGGTTTGCCATCTTTACTATGTTTTATTTTCTACACATCTCACTTCATCATCTATAACCCTAATTAGCACATGTTGCAATTGCTAGTTTTTTGCATTCTTTCTTACATATGTAAGAACTATGTGAGTTTGTGTTTGATACTCATTATGGTGTTGCATGCCCATATAAGGAGTTTATAATATTAATATGGGTGCTTGAGTATTTACACCTGATAAGGAAAGAGTTTAGAAGATCAATGTGTTGAGGCACATGAAATATGTTTATCATAGGAATACTAATGCCATACTCATAGGGTTTAGATTTTAGGTTTGTAAATTGTTGTCTATTTCATTAATATAACTTCTCTTAGAAGTGTTAGAATTGTTTCTCTATCTGAAAAGTTATATAAGAAATGCGCTAAATGCCATCGAGTATTTTTTGGTGGAATGTACTAAATGCTTTATTCTGATGGAGTTTCTCATAAGCTTAATAAGAAGCATGATAGATGTATATTTTTGGCAATGATGAGTCCAGAAAGGGTTGGAGGTCTATTGATCCCGTTATAATGAAGGTTTACATTTCCTGGCTTGTTATGTTTGATGATGGCACTTCATACTGGCCTTCTCATGAATTTTTTTTATGGTTGAAGTCTCTACTTTTGAATCAGAGGATGCTCAAGATGCTTAATTGTCCCCCCAAAAGTCTTTGGAAGTTTGCTGTTTATAATTCCAATTTATAGATAAGTAGTTGAAGATGATGGATCATTTGATCATGAATCTTCAGTTAAATTTCAGGGAAGCAGTAGGAAGAAGAAGCCTGTTGAGAAATATATGGTGATTTGGATCATTCTTCAGGGTCTTATTGCTTTGTGGGTTCTATAATTAATAAGTGGATGCTCAGTTCCTCCAAGAAGGCCAAGGACGTCTGGGAAGATACCAGGAAAATGAGATTAAGGATCAAATTTTCATTCATAGCATACTTTATTCTATTTCTAAAATTAGTTTTCTTTGTTTTGGTTTATTTTATATAGATTTGATTCTAATTATTTGATCAGATTTCTAAAAGTTAATTCTTTCTTCTTTGTAAAGTTTGAATGCTTCTATATAAAGAGGCATAAAGTCAAGTTGTAATAAGAGTTTTTTTTTCCTTGCTCCATCTTACTCCCCTCTTGTGGCTATGCAAAGGGTAAAGAATAGTGGATTTCTGTTTTCTATGAGTAGGTTTTTTTTATTAAGATGGTTAACATTAGTTTTAATTTTTTTGTTTATTATAAAAAGTAGTTCATCATAGAGCAATCATTTTTTTTTATTTACATGGTAAGATTAGTGTGGACGAGTATAGGTGGAGGATAAATTGATTCACTAGTTTAGCTCCAAGTTAAGTTTGGTCTGAATTACCTAAGCAAAAACTTATTAATCCCCAATTTATCATAAAATGATCTGCTCCCCAATCGGTAGTAGGTCCTAAATTTACTTGCTTAAATTTGATGTGTATTTAAGATTTCATTATTTGTGCATTGTTTGCATCAAACTGACTTAAAATACACCAAAAAAAGAAAAAAAGAAAAAGGAAAAGAAAAATCTATTGAAATAATTTTCTTAATCATAAGCATTTGTTAGAAAATTTTCAATGCTCAATTTAATTGTGCTGAGATACTAGAATCTAAAATGATTATTGAATAGATAAAATGTTCCTTTTTGACTAACATTTTGACATAATTCTTAATTGGTTATAGAATGCCATTAAGTTACACACATTTTATTGTCATTATGTCTTTGGTTTAAGTCAATCATCTAAAACATCTTATTCTCCCTAGGTGGAGAACCTTCTTACATTATGCACAAAATTAGTTGTTAGAGAAGTCTAGTATAAATAAGCTAGACGATTATCAGACACAACAAAAAAAAGTCTTGGTAACCATATAATACAAGATTCGAAGTTCTTTAACGACCATATAATCCATGATTCAAAGTTCATTAACTTTGACATTGAACTTTTATTGTTATGCATTTTTCTATATTAGGACTATCCTGAACTTTATAGCCTTTGAACTAGGACCTAAGCTTTTGTCCTTTGGTTTCTTAGTTCAGATATTTTAGAGGACGTAATAGCCTTAAAATTTTCATCTATTCTTTGTGTCCAACTCTTATCCTTTGATATTTTTAAGTCATTCTATATATAGAATAAATAATATAAGTGATACGTTACCAAAAATCATCTTGATCATGCACGAATCTCGAGGCACATTCAAGTTGGAAACTTTCAAAATTAAATTTGGGACCATATGAATTTTAATTTTAGCAAACTTATAGTCAAACTAAACTTCTCAAAGAGACGAACCTAACAACACGAAAATCGGTCCAACCCGAGCCCAAATGGGTCCAAATCGAGGGCCCAAACCACATTTGGAAGGTTCTAAGCATTGTTTGGATGACAACATGATATCCAATTATGACATGCTTAAAGTCAAATCGAGCGACTTGTCGAGAAGAATCCAATGAACCTAAGATCGCTGAATTTCGACATCGTTAAGGCACTTAAATAGTTGAAAAACTTTCTATGATCGAGGGAATCAATATGGGCCATCCGATGGAGCACTCTGAACCTGCCCTGGATCTTCTGTATATTTATGGGGTGTGTCATACTCACTCATAAAAATCTATAAATAGACATCCACTCTCTACATGAAGGGGACTTTTGGTTCGAGATTGAAGAGAGCTCTGAGGTTTCAAATGCTCCAGCACCACCGTCGGCAAACCCCTATCGACTACCGTTGGATCACCGTTCGGTCGGCGATCACCACCGGACTTCCACCCGGTCGCCGACCGCCACCGGACTTTAGCCCTACCTTCGTCATACCATTCCCCGTCATCTAAACTTCTGCCCGGATGTCGTCGGTCTTCCGCCCGATCGTCGCCAGACCTTTGCCTAACTCTCCCAATTACTTTAATTTGACCGCCTCTAAGTTAAAGGATGGGTCAACCTTTGTAATTCACTCAAATTTAGTAGAATCGTTTCACTTGGGCGAGGCCCCATGATTTTTCCCTCTCAGGCTTTCCACATAAAAAAGATCGTGTGTTTTACTTCTCTCTCTGTTTGTGTGTTGGATATCCATGCATCACTAAGACGAAAAGTTTACTCTACCGCCGTGAATATTCTAGCCCACAACAATATGCATAATTCTTTAATTAAGAATGTTCTTAAGCATTCTGGCTATATAATTAATTAAGGAAGCTTGCTTGTTTTAAAAATCTCAATTTCCCAAAATAAATTAAATTCTAAGTAGGCTTCTTATTGCTATTTACTTATGAGAGAGATTTTTATGTAATTGTTGAATCTTTAAAATATTGGAGATATTACTTTTTGCATAGTGATTTAGCCTAAATTTTGACCATCTTCCCTTTAAATTCAATAACTACTATTTTCTTCTAATTTGTCTGTCAAAGAAGTTCTCAAATAGGATTATGTCAATTTTAGGCATTCAATTGAGCCAAAATTTCAACACATAATTTGGGTGTATATATTTTTCTTCATCAACAGTGTGTTCCTTGTTGGGCTTGATACACCAATCGTCAAATTCATTTTCAAGCAAAATCTTAAGTTTGTGATAGAGGGAAAATCACTTGGTATTTCTTCGACATATTTTTTCAGCTATTCAATGTGGCGCTAAATTCAATATTTTTTATTTGTCTTAGCAAAAAGACCCCTCATGTGAAGCTCTTCACATCGTCTCCCCTCCCCTCAAGAAGTATTAACGCTATCAAGTTCATGCACAAAGAGCCAATTGAATCATATGGTGGTGTTGCGAGTCATCCGCTCAAAAACCTTACCTGACCATCATAAAACTACCATAGTCCCATGGATAGGATTCCAAAAAACTCGCTATTCATGAACAATTTGTGTTCAACTCACTTAGAAGCCTGTGTTCGGTTCATTCATCTAGTATACGAGTTGATATTAAATAGTTATTTTGAGCTCATTTTCTTAACAAGTCGAACACAAACAAAGCCTTTGATATTACTGGCTCGATATATATACTTTAAATTATATATTATTGATTGTTTAGTAGATTAATTCTATCATGTTTGGCTCAAAGTTAAACAAGTTGAATATAAACATGTTCACGAATAATTCCAAACATGAGTTAATTTCAAACAAGTAAAAAGTCTAACGTGCCAAACATGAACACACGGCAAGCACACTTTAACTCGGCTTGTTTACACTCCTACCCATGGATGCTACTAACAACATGAATCACTCAAACTCAATTGAATCATTTAGGTCTAATTCCATTTGACTTGGGACTAATAAATTTATGTCAAATCGTATTTCCAGCAAAAGACCTGTGCTCATCAGTGAGAACCAAGTACTTAGTATTTCTACATCATATTTTTCAACAATTCGATGTGAGATTAAACTCGATATTCTCATGTGGCTTAACATTTGTGTTGCTGGTTTCTTTAATGATCAGGGGTGAGATTACAGTAGTTCTACAGGTACAATATGGTTTCAGCTATGTTTACCATTCTGTTTTGCATGTTTTTGAAGAACTGAGCAGATATTATAATTATACAGTCTTGAACTTTCTTCTAACTCTTTGTTGAACATGTTTCTCTATAATTCCTGGTGCTAGTAAGTTAAATTCCCTACTATTATCATGCTGTCATTCCCTGATGGTAAGATTAATTTTTTTATTATGAATTACTACCAAGAAAGTATGGATTAAGGGTGAAATATGAAATATGCTATCTCAGTCATTTTCACAAAAACAATTTTGTATCACTTTCTTTGTTTGTCTCCAAACTATTCATTTGGCCGATATATATGACATGTGTACGGTTTTTTTTCCTTGGCAGTCATCTTATGGCTTTGTTGATTACTTTGATCGTCGATCAGCTGCGCTTGCCATAGTTACACTTAATGGAAGGCATCTGTAAGTAAAACATTACGCATATGCTATTTTCTTCTTTGCTTGTGCTCCAATGTTGCTTTAGTCTTCTTGAATTTAAATTGCAGATTTGGCCAACCTATAAAAGTTAATTGGGCATATGCCAATACGCAGAGAGAAGACACTTCAGGTTATATATGTATATCTTAATGTTTCTTATTTAGCTAACATACATGTCCATAATTTTTTTTCCTTCATAAGGTCATTACAACATCTTTGTTGGCGACCTAAGTTCTGAGGTTACAGATGCTGCTTTGTTTGCTTGCTTCTCTGTGTATCCCAGTATCTCGTAAGTTTTGTGTGACCTTTCAATTTGTTGTATGGTTTTGCTTTTTCCTTACCTGTTTGTGTCTTTAGTTGCACCTAATGATTTAGAGCCAGCTGATACTGTTTATGTTCTTTAAGTTTTCTGTCTTTATTATGCTTTCATTGAATGCTTCAGTACTGATATGCGATTCTATTGCAGGGATGCAAGGGTTATGTGGGATCAAAAAACTGGACGATCAAGGGGGTTTGGTTTCGTGTCTTTCCGGAACCAACAGGTGAAATGATTATCAACCTCGTGAATTTGTGATGCTCATTATTTAGGCTTGTACCTGATAAGTCTTTTTTGTTCGTTCATAGGATGCACAAAGTGCCATTAATGACTTGACTGGTAAGTTTCACCTAAATAGCTATTTTATAACCTTTCTTATTTGTGAGAGAAATCAGCATCTATTTGGTTTATTTTTATTTCTTGATTTTTTTGGTTTTGGCCATTGTATCACCACAGCTGAAGATACAAGTTAGATTTTGCATGCTTTGGCATGCTTTGTATTGGCAAAGGGCTATCATCCGTTATACCTGTATGGTAAATGGTTTACTACTGTGTTTTCTTATGCTTGTTATCACTCACTGTGCAGGTAAATGGTTAAGCAATAGGCAGATTCGCTGTAACTGGGCTAGCAAGGGTGCTGGTACTAGTGAGGATAAACAATTTGCAGATTCCAAGAGTGTTGCAGACTTAAATAATGCTTCAACAGGTATGTGGGTTTACTGTGGCACTTAGTCTTTTGAGTGCTACATACACAGTATGTCTCATCTTTCTTCATTGTTCTTTTGGATTTGAAGAAACTTTTTTCATATTATGGCATAGCAATTACCCACTTTACTCTCAATACTTTTAGGAGCCAATGCAAATACTTTCAACATGTTTTAAGTAGAAAATTATTAAATTGACATTTCTGTGAATTTCATGCTTTGATTTTCATCATAAGTAGTGAATAATTTTTCAAATTGAGAGTTTGTGGATTGGGAAATTTATGCGTGTTTGCATGATTATGTACACTCATCAAACCCAAGACATTCTGCATCATCATGCATCTTGGTGTTCTAATCTAATATGTTTCAATTGGCTTTTTGAAGTGAGATTCTAGGTTAATATCTGCCATAAAGCAATAACATTTGATGTCTATGAAAATCTAAGCTCTTGACTTTTTTTTTTAAAGGTTTGCATAAAGCATTCAACAACTAAAAAGACTTACATAAAGGCAAAACAAAATGTCCTAAGTATGTAAAAGAAAAAACCTATCCTCCCCAAGTATATCAAAAAAGTTCCGAGGAATAGGATCACTATTCCTATCCCCAAAAGACAATAAAAAGTTGCAATTTAAAGCCCTTTGGGTGCAAAAATGAGTTGCTTGGTTAAATCTCCTAGGAACATGAGAGAATATAATATTGTGAAAAAGACCAAGCCAATTAAGGTTGTCACTATCTATCGGTGAAGAGTCCCAAATTCTTTTCTTCTTGAGCTTCTGTAGATGTTTGATCACACACACATTGTCCCCTTCGACAACAACACCTCGCATCTGGAACATTCAATCTTTAATGATCCGGCCTATGTGGAGCATAGCTTGAAACTCAACATGTATGCTATCCCAGTTTTGACTTGCCAAGCAGCAGCAACAATAGGCTCACCTCGATCATCCCTAATAATGATTTCGATTCCACCAGAGTTAAGAGCGAAGAAGTGCTCCATCCACATTGATTTTCAACCAATCTGTAGGGTGAGGGTACCAAGAAGAATCAGATAACAACCCAAAGGGTTGAGCGGCGCCCCAGAGCTCCGAAGAGGAAAAAAGAATCTTGCGGGAGATGGCGTCAAGGATCATGGCAACCATAATAGAAGGCGTACTTGTTGGTTGCCCATGCTTTTTGGCGTTTCTATTCCTACAATATGCTTGAGCCCAACACCTGGAATCCTTAGTGGCATTCTTAATACCCTCCTGCAGATCATGGAAGTAATCAAATTGGGGGGTCATAAGGTCCCACTTAGCAAGTACATCTAAAAGATGGTGGAGCTCCCTGAAACCCACTATAATATGATTCAAATCTTCAAAGTCAAGACATCCCATGGGACAGTTAGCATCATCATGGAGCCCACGGGAGTGCAGCCATTGATTCGTTGGGACGATGTCTCTATACAATCTCCACCAAAACAGCTGCTCTCTGGGAAGAAGCCTGAGCTTATACACATTAGTAATAGGATATTCTGCTAGTTGGAAAAGTTTGCAATAAGTAGTAGCCGCCACCGTGGATCCAAGGTTCTTGAGGAGCACACATGAGTCACGAGAAGTTAATCGATTAATTAAATAGGTTGTTGTGCTCAAGGCTTCAACCCTGAATTTTGGTGGAATAAAAGATTCAAGCAATAAAGTTCTAAAGTCTAATAGGCATCGATTCTTACAGTTAACATTATTTTGTTATGGTTCATATGAACATGACTTTTTGAGAAACAATGCCCTTTTTTTAAAGAAAATTATGAAATTCAAGTGACATTCAACAATATGTTTTACAATTGATATCATGACTCTTGCATCTTATATTTGCCATGGAACTAATTGTAGAGACTCAATAAGGGTAGGTCATTGCCATCAATGTGTCCCCATCGTTCTTTTCCTATGTCAAATATTCAAAATTAAAATTGAGTAGAGTATTTTTTTTCGGTGAAGCATACACAAAAAATCTCCAAAAGTTGTTAATATAGTTGACATATGATATCTTAAAAAAGTGTCGAAAATGAGTCTTGAAAGAGACTATTATCGAGAGACAAGTCAAATACACGAGTCTTTGGAATGATCGAAGACAAGTGATGTCAAGATGGAAATCCTTGAAAAACCAATATGTGGGAAGACATTGAAATCAAAAGAAGATGAAGGCACTAGCGACATGGATTAACATGAAGGCATAGGGAAATTGTTGGAATCACATGGAGGCACTTATGGTGACGAAAAAAATGTGCTGGTGACATCAAAGGCAATGTTGGACATGGTGAGGTGGAGATCAGGCGATCAACACAAGCAAACTCAAGATCTTGATCACTAAAGGCATTAAGGACTATGTTGATCCACATGAAATTGCCGAGATGAGTAGAGATCAGGCCTTGCCTGAGGGAGACGAGTTAACACTGATGCAACAACAATAACAATAACATTAAGTTTTTAACCCACTATGTGAATTCGACTACAAGAGTTAAAAGACGAGTTAACACTGATGATTATGATATAAATCTAGCTGGTAGAACAATGTATATTTAGATTTAATACTTCCATCCTTTTTTCTTTATGGTTTCACTTTTCACATCTATTTGACTTGTGATTCATCGGTATTTGGCAAATTTGGTTGCTTTCTTTTTCAATGCATATTTTCATTATTTATTTGCATGATTATTAGTCAGGCATGTGTAATTTCTTTGTCTTAAACTATAATCTGTTAATGAAATTTTTGTGCAGAAGATGTTAAAGATAGTGTGAAAGAAGACGCTCCGGAGAATAACCCGCAATACACTTCAGTTTATGTCGGAAATCTTGCTCCTGAGGCAAGTAGCAATCCGCAGTCATTTTGATCCTAAGGCCATTGTTTCTAGCATAATTAATTTAGCATTGCCTTTGTTCTTAAGGCATTTACTTATTCTATGATATGAAATTAAAAATTGCAGGTTACTCAGGTTGATCTGCATCGGCTGTTTCACACCCTTGGGGCTGGGCAGATTGAGGAAGTTCGAATTCAACGTGAAAAGGGATTTGGTTTTATTAGGTACAGTAATCACTCTGAAGCTTCTCTAGCTATTCAGGTAGCAAATGGTCGGATTCTTGGTGGAAAGCCAATTAAGGTATGTTTTTTTTTTTAAGTTTTGTTGGAAAATTCACACATTGTAATTGCATAGTTTAATGTTATTTTTCTGTGTTCATTCTATACACCTATAAATAGGCATATATGTTTAGTGAATGTTATATTTAAATTCTAACCCTTTCACTTATGTCATGACTTTTATCTCCCCTCTTCCTTGGATGAAATCCTCCATAATATTGAAACATTGCTACCATAGATATCTTTGGGTTATGGGCCACTTCTAGTTTTGAATCTATTATTATCTTTCAAGTTGAATTCGATCTATTGCTTCAAATGAAGACCGCTCGCTAATTTTCTCAAGCTATCTCTTACGCTCTAATGTAGTTACATGTACTAGAACGCCTTGAATTTCAAATTCAGGAGCATCTTACAACATGAAATGTAACATATAGTAATTTTTTTAATTGCATGACTCCTTTGCTGATGATATTCTTCTGATAAGACTAGAGAGGGAGTTGAAGGTAAACTCGAATTATGGATGTCAACATTAGAGTCTTAAAGGTTTTCGTTTGAGTAGATCTAAAATTGAATACATGGAGTATAATTTTAGTAGTAATAAATCTAGTGGTGGTTTTGTGACTTTGTGCAATCAAGTCATTAATAAGTTTACTCGTTTTAGATATCTCAGTTCTATTGTTCAAAGTGATAGTGAAATAGATGGGGATATTATTAGTAGAATTCAAGTTGGATGGTTGAACTGGAGGAATACTTCGGGTTTGTTGTGTGATGGAAAAGTATCACTCGAACTTAAGAGAAAAATTTATACGATGGTGGTTTGACCTGCAATGCGTAATGGCTCAGAATGTTGGCCATTAAAAGAGAAGCATAATATTAAATTAAGTGTTGCTGAGATGAGGATGCTCGGGTGGATTAGTGGATTTACTCTTATAGATACAGGATACAAAACGATATCATTGTTTCAGTGACATATCCATGAAAAGGTTGGAGTAGCTCCAGCGACAGTAAGATTAGAGAGAGTCGCCTTAGATGGTTTCGTTATGTAAAATGGAGGCTTTCTGATGACCTTATTAGGAGAGTAGATGTATTAGATTTGGCCTATGTTAATAAAGGTAGAGATAGACCTAAAAAGATTTGGTTAGAAAATATTAGAAATGACATTTCTTTATTAGATTTAATGAGAATTTGACTATTAACAGGACACAATTGAGAAAGAGGATTCCTGTAGCTGACTCCACGTAGTGGCTTGATGTTGTTGTTGTATGTCTCCTTTGTCACTTATTATCATTATTGATTTTTCCTAATTTGTTTCTAAAAAATACATTATACATCCTTCACAAATCCTTATTCATTCGAATTTGTTCCCATTTTTAGTAAATTTATGATCAATAATTATTTCATCAAAACTACAATGTTATGTAATGTTTTATCCAACTCATTGTATTTTATATTATCTCAGCTTGAAGATGGTTATTAGGATTGTTAAATCTCGGCCCTTCACTCATAGATCCAACGACTACAAAGAAAGATCAGTAGGAAGCCTTCTAGAAGCACATTAAGTACCTTCCATAGCTAGACATCTGATTTAGGAAGGATTTTATTTCAGCAATTATTAATTATTCTATAGTTATTTGTTTCTTCATTAGACATATTGTATAGATCTATAAATAGGGAGTCTATTGTATAATAAAGTAAGCTTTTTCTTCTCAAATTCCTAGTTTTAACATGGTATCAAAGCCAACGGCCTTCATTACCGTTGTAGAATGATCATAGATCATCGGAGGTGGAAAAGATGAAGAAGCAGAGTGTTGTCGGGGATGGACGCCACAGATGGAGCCCCCTTGCCGCGGAAGCTTGCCGACAGACGTCAAAGCAGAGCATTGCGGAAGACACAAAAGCCCTAGCCGACCGGTGGTATCTCAATCCAAACGTCATAACTTCTGATCCGACATGAAGGGAAAGTCGTCGAAGGAGCATAGTCGAACAGCCACGAAGGAGACGATCCAAACTTCTGAATTGACAGGAAGGGCAAGTCGTCGAAGGAGCGTACTCGAATAGTCATGAAGGAGTCGAAGAAGCGATTTACCTCCTGCGAAGCAACAAAGCCGAACAACAACAACGAAAAGAGCTCTGAAGCAGACTTCTACTTGCGTGCCCTAGCTATCTGGTCCAATTATAAAAAAGACCAGTCGGTTACTTCCTCAAAAAAAAAAAAATCAACCTTTATTGCCGTAACTAAAGATCGGAGGGATCTTAATTTTTGGAGCCTTCATTGCTATCCAAAATCAAACATATAGTCTTCATTATTATCATTTGACTCAAAAATGTCAGAAATTATTTTTTCTCCGAACACTGACCAATTTGAAGATTTTATGGTGCACCAAGGACGAGGTGGCCTCTAAAGCATGCAACCTTCCTATCGCCTAAATGGGAAGAACTGCCTAAAGTGGTCTCAATTTGTGAAGATCTACTTGAAGGGGAAAAGAAAAATACACCACCTCCTCGGAAGAGGACCAAAATTGAAAGTTTCAATTGTAAGTTTGGTAAACATCATCGTGTCATTCCTATCATTCACTAATAGTCATTGTTTCTTTCCTTTTAAAATAGTTCGCTCTAAAATTCGGGTTTCTAGTCATGGTCCATGTCTTAGAGTTTTGCTATTTTGTACATTTAGTGATGATCATTCTCAAATCGTTATATTTATTAAAATGGCAATTAAAGTTTTGATATTTTCACAAGTTTTATTTGAAAAAAAAAAACTTTAGTTTATTTACTTAAATTTCATATGAATGTCTAAATTTAGGGAGAGGCAATCTCAATTTCCTGTTATTTTATCGAATAGTGTCTCTTCTACATTTCTCAATGATCAATCGCTTATTATTGCTCTTCTACTTTAGTTGCTCGAGCATCTGGCTGCCTTTATTTTGTTCATATTTTGTACCCGCATGATAAACTCTCTTCTCGTGACGCTCATTTAATATTTCTTGGGTCCGCTTGAATTCAAAGCATATATATTTTATAATATTTTTACCAAACACTATTCACTTCAACCAATATCTATTTTCATGATAATATCTTTTTGTTTCCCATCACCACTTCTAAAGTTCTAATCATCACCAATTGTTCATCTTCTCCTTTTAGCTTTGTATATTTCCATCTACTTTTAAAAAGTATTCCTTTGAGAGTTTGCATTCATATCTACACCTTCTATTGTGATATGACAAAGTAAATGATAAATTACTTCATCATATTCACTCCATGATTTCTGATATTTTATCTCCATCTTATTTTCATTTTTTCATGTCTTATCTATCATCTATATTTCTAGAGCATATCTAGGGGTGTCAATTTCGGGTCACGGGTCGGGGTCGGGTCGAACCCGAAATTGACCCGGCACTATTCGGGTCAACCCGTTTCCTACCCGTTTTTGAAAATTGGTCAGTTTTCATGATCCGAACCCGACCCGCTTCAGGTCCGGGTCAACCCTACATGACACGAATGACCCATTTCCAACAAAAAAATGCTAGTTTTCGGTTCAAAAACGGGTCTATCTCCTCTTTCTCGGGTAAAAAACAGGTCATTTCCTCTTTTTCGGGTCAAAATCAGGTCAATCTCATGTTGCCGGGTCAAAACCGGGTTTTCGGGTCAAAGGGTTAACCCGAACCTGACCCGATTTTTGAAACGTGTCAAAATGCTGAACCCGAATCCGACCCGTTTCGGCTTCGGGTTGACCCTAACCCGAAATTTTCGGGTCGGGTTCGAGTCGGGTTTTCGGGTCATGTCAAATATTGACACCCCTAAGCATATCCAAAAGCACTGCAACATTCCTTTTTGCACTATCTCCATGGATGTTGTTCATGGTTTACCATGACAAATATGAGAATTGGTTGCCTCTCCATTTGGGGTCAAATTAATCCATTTTTTATGGACCTTCACTGTCAAGTTTATTATGATGGCTCCATTGATCGATTGAAAGCTTGTTTAGTTGTTAAAGGTTTTATTTAAGTTTGTGGGATATATTATTTTGATACTTATTATCTAGTTGTTAGACTCGGTTCTTACTTTTTTTTAATCTTAGTGGCCATCAATCATAATGGGTCCTTGTTGCAAACGATTATTGTTAATGTCTTTCTTCATGAATGATGCTATATGTATTTTTACCACCAACCCACAAACCCCGCTAACTCACTAACGACTCCCCATAACTCCCCACGAGCCCTCTCTCCCACATGTTACAACCAAAAGGACGCTCTACCTCTCGTTTTCACTCGGCTACACAGAAGGGCCGAAGAGATTAACTTCCTCTCCCCCATTTTCTCAGTATTGCATGTAGGAGTCGAAGACTCTCACGACCTGCTCTCCCCTCTCTCTATCTCACTATGTTAAACCACCCAAACGCATGGTCTCTCTCTCTCTCTCTCTCTCTCTCTCTCTCTCTCTCTCTCTCTCTTTATTGATCACACGCAAGAACCCCAATGACCTCCAGCGGAGCCTTCCCATCATCAATACTGCACACACACGAGTCCTTGACCGACTCCCTCCCCCTCGTTTTCTCTGTAACGCACCAAGAGCCGAAGCCAGGAAAAGACCCCGCTCCTCCCGGTACTTCTAAACTAGACTCCCACGTCGTAGCCCCCACTCCTCTCTTTGTTCATTTGAACTGATCCCAGCTGTCGACCTAACCATCCTACCACTGTCTCGACCCCAACCCTCTTTCTTCCTCACTCACTTGAGCTTGACCACATGCAGACCCCTACATTGCTCAAGTGACTGGTCGTTCGACATGTCTTCTAAAACAACCCCCTCAAACTCCATCCAACTAAATATGTTGCTAAGGTCACTACGGCCCACCATTACATTGCCTATGACCTAACCCAATACCAAAGTGCTAGTCTTTAATGCTCTACTTGACACCATTGTATGAGAGGGAGGCACCGAGAGCTTGCCGAAGTTTTAAACGACAAAGGATTCCCTCACTTAATTTAAAACAAATTGTCAATAAGCTAATTCAAAAAAAAATCATGAACCATTTTAATTGATTTGAAACAAGGCAAAACGATGTGATTCAATTTTGGATTGACTCGATATATGATATATGCAAATCGAGTCCTATATGTGATTTGGATGGACAAACATACTAAGAAAATTAATATACTAAGGACCAAAGCTAATGTTAAGCTTTTTAAAGAATTAATAGTTTCTATAATTCACTAAGATTTCACACTCAAAAGAAATTTCAAAATTGTTTAGGCCACTCTTAAATCATGAACAAAAGTGATCACACAAGCAAATCATACATTCCATCAAACAAATTTCAAATTCAAGCATAACACAACATATTACAATTATACGATACATCATAAGAGTGTATTGCAAGTGTAAAATGCATTATATGTTTAAAATATAAATGCTTTATTCAAGAACAATGTTCAACAGGAGTGATGACCAAATGTAAAATACATCTTAAAAATGTAATGAGAATGCAAAACACATTATATAAATATAATAAACGTGCATAATATATTATACAATTTTTTGCATGTGCTTCGATCTTTACGTCAAACTCTTAAATATTTAAATATGAGATCTGATAATGATGTGTGAATTCGTTAAAAGTGCTTAAGCACCTCTATGATAACTAAGAGTTTAAATTATTCATCGCCAAAAACTTAGAACCAAAATCCATCCACACTTCACAATTGTTTGGCGAGGATGATGAATTTCAGAATAACTTAAGCTTAGAAAGAGTAGATATCTTGTTGAATATATTACTACAATTCATTCTCAATGGATTTCTCGCCAACAGAGACGTGACACATGTCCTCTGACGTGGTGATTTTGCCACAAAATAAGATCACTATATTACGGTCACGACCAAGTTCAAATGTTCCCTAATTGTTGAGTAATTAATTATAGGACACACTTTATAAGGTATAAAACCTTCTGTTAGCTAAGGTTGACTTGAGTTCACTCTCTTTGACAAACATCCATCATAGGTCTATATGGTATCCTTAGATAAAACAATCCATGGTTGTTGACAAGGTTCCTTCTGTCAAATTGTGTCAACAAATTTTTCTGACTAAATAGATTACGGATCGAGATGCTGGAACTATGAGATCTTGATCGAGCCCATCATCATTCCCCCATCACTAATGGCAAGTTCTGTTTATCATCTCATCTAGAATGTTATAATACATTAAGGCTTCATTTGATTATTCGGTACCTTTTATAAAAGGTAGTTTTAAAAATGTTATTTAAGAGAATGGAGGTTTCTAATCGGTATCGGTAGTTTCTAAATTTTTAATTAAAAAAATAAACTAAATATATAAAAATGAAATACACTTACAATTTATAGCCAATGTTTCTTCATATTTAAAAAAAAATGGATGATAACATTATTGCCAATAAATTCATCTTGATCATATTCCAACTAAATTCAGTCCATCTAACTTCTCTTTGTTGGCATGCACTGCACCCATGTCAAGGGATATTGTAATACTATCGTCGGCTACAATAGCAGCTTTACTTGGAGGCGAAATAGGAATGAATTTTTTCCTTTTCCAGACACTAGGGGCCTCATTCGAAGTTGAAAGGGGGATACCACTGCTAGACCGTGGAGGGTGAACCGCAAGTTGAGGAAAATATGAAGTTAGCTGGTTTGAGGCATTTCCACAAACACCAGGACTACAAGATCCTGTAGCTTTGGATTGTAGAGAGAAAGAAGGGATTTCTACAAATCCGCATGGTGGTCGAGTGGCCAAGTGTTCTTCATAAGAAATTACACTCTCCATTCCATTACACACATCCATACCAGTTTCACCCACAGCGCTCGTGATCGTGAGATGAACCTCACAGGCCTGGGATCCATGACCCTCCCCCTTCACACCAACCACCATGGCATTCCAGTCAATTTCTGGGAAAGGAGAGATGAGCTCAAAGTCAGATTTTCTGAGAAGATGGCTCCATATTGCCTATATCTGCAGGTACACGCCAATGGTTGGAAGGTGATAACTTGTCTTCACCGTGATGGATGGAAGCTGGTTTGCAAAGGCAGGTGAAGTGGAAACAACATGTCCCTTTGGTATCATACTTGATTACCTCCCTTGTCTTCACCGTGAAGTCGCTGTGAGATTGGCACAGTATTATAATTAATTTTTTTTTAGGCAGGTGAAGTCGCTGTGAGAAATACATGCCTATTTAGGGATCCTTCTTGGAAATACAGTGTACAATATGACATAGGCGGCAGTGAGAAGACTTATGTGTATTTGAAATGCAATTTTTACGAAAAAGTGGTGAAGGGCGGAGTAACCCGTATGAAGGAACACTTATCATGCTAATATTTTGTGATTTTGTACTTTGGGACATGATTTTATTGCATCTATTTTCTTACTTTCCACTAATTTCACATGTCATTTAGATGTTTTTATTATATGATAGAAACTTGCTATTATTTACCTGTTAAAATCCTTAAATTCTTATTTACGCAATTCTGCGTCTGTGAGGCTTTCGCCTCACACCGCCTCGAGGCTTACGCCTCGCCTCACGGACGAAAAACGCCTCGAGGCTTATTTACGCAATTTTAAACCTTGCTTGCTGACACCCCAAAACTAATCGAAACATATTTAATGATATATCATTTGTTGATCCATCTCTACAAAATTGATTTATCTATTAGTTATGTGAACTTTTCTTGTTGGAGTAAGAAGTTTTGGAATATTGTTCTTCACATTCTCAATTATATTAAGAAAGCTCCTGAAATAGGCTATTGTATGTTAAAACTGGGCACTTAAATAGTAAAGCATTCATTGATGTCAATTTCTGATCACGGTATTGTTATGGGAGGTTATCTAGTCACTTGAAAGAGTAAGAAGTTTAGTAAACGGTCGTAGTTAGATCTAGAGTTGATACTATAACAACAACAACAACAAGCCTTTATCCCACTACGTGGGGTCGGCTACATGAATCATTCTTCTCCATTGTGTCCTATTAAAAGTTAAATTCTGGTTTAAATCTAATAAAGAAATATCATTTCTAATATTTTTTAAGTCTTTTTAGGTCTGCCTCTAGCTTTCTTAACATAAGTCAAATCTAATACCTCTACTTTCCTAATCAGGTCATCGGAAGGCCACCAGGTCTTTTTAGATCTAGAGTTGATGTAGTATATAAAATCATTACATGTGAAATGATGTGGCAAAAATCAATAATAGAGCTGGCAACCTAATCAATAGCGTTAGTGGGCAATAATTGATCACTGTATTTTTAAAAGCCGTCTGAATATTAAGTTTTTAGCTTCAAAAACCGACTCTTGAATTGATCAATGGTTGTGGAACCATTATTTCTCTTTTGCTTTGTTGCAGTGCTCATGGGGAAGCAAGCCCACACCGCCTGGAACAGTCTCCAAGCCTCTTCCCGCTCCTTCTGCAGCCCCATTCACTACACTATCAGCCGCAGACCTGCTTTCATATGAAAGGGCATTGGCACTCAGCAAGATGGGCGTAGGCCAGGCACTAATGCCTGGCCAGGCCAAGCAAGCAGGCTTGCCATTAGGAGCTGGAGCTAGCCAGGCCATCTATGATGGTGGCTTTCAGAACTTGGCTGCTGCCCAGCACCTCATGTATTTTTAATCATACAACTTTTATGACCAAATTGTAGATCTATTGCCTATTTATCTGTCTTGTATTTTTCCTCCCTCTGCCTTTGTTGTTATATGAATTGACATATTGTAGCGATTTGTAGGTATTGTAAGTTATTGAGGGAGAAAATGTTGTTTTAGTTGGCCAACTTTTATTTGTAATCGCCATATACTAGGAAGAAATTTATGGAGAATGTTTTTTTTTTTCTTAATGATTTTAATGATATTCTTAGTTTGTCAACATTAATATACAGCTAATTTCTGCATGGTTTGCCCTTTGTATTCCCCTTCGTGTACTTTTGCATTGTTTTCATATTTCTAATGTAGTTTTATATCATACAACAATAAAATTAGCATCCAGGTTTTTATCTCCCTACATGGATTAATTATTTTGTGCGGATGCCATTTGACGTCTCCGACATCTGGAGATAAACCAAAATAATATTGCAGCTCGATACCGTTGATCATTCTGATTAATCTCCGGACAATGTTCTGCATTTTATTTCCACAGAATAATTTCTCTACTACATAAGATTGGTTATATGAATTATTTTTTCTCTATTATTTTCTATTAAAAATTAATCAAGTCTTTTTAAATCTCTTTATCTTTTTTGAAGGTGGGATAGATCTGACAAACTATATTATCTAAAAAAAATGAAAAAAAAAAATCCTTAATGTTTCCAGCTTTCATAACAAGTTTAGTGGCCAAAATATTCCTGCATAAAAAATTCAAGTTTATCCTTCTTGCGATCAACTGTGTATATATATATATGAAAGCTTCTATAAATTGAAAGAGTACAGCCACATTAGAACTTCTAGCAGAACTAACAAATAAGGAAGCATCATTAAACTAAAACTTCTGCTATAATACAAGCCATTACTTAGCCAATGATGCATTAATAATGCACATAAATAAGATTAGTGAGTGAGTTAAAATAACAATTGTACATACCGTAATGCCTCTAAGAAAGAATGCCACAAATCTTACATGTAAATGAGCTGATCTCATATCAGAATGAAAATCATGAAGCTAACTTGACCAGACATGTATCAAGCCTTGTTTGTTTCCAGTGTATATCTCATTTCTATCCTCATCATAGAACAACGCTGTAACATCTTCAAGGGCTTCGCGAACAGTACTCCTTATGGAAGATCTACCACTATCTCCTCTTCTACGAGGACTTATCTGGATTGAAGGGTCATTTGCACATATTTTGGCAATGCACTTCCCAGTAAGAATATTGCTCATGTTGATGGATCCAACAGTAGAAGCTGAGAAAGAAAGAAAAAAAAGTTTTTAAGATTCCCGGTCCGTTACTTTCACACAGGGGATGTACACAAAATGTTTTAAACTCTTCAATATTATGAATCTCACGGTAGGGGCGTCAATATTGGATCCGACCCAAAAATTTCGGGTTTGGGTTGACCCGAACCCAAAGCGGGTTGGGTTTGGATCCGAAAAACCGACCAGTTTGAAAAATAGGATCAAGTTCGGGTTGATCCGGGAACCCGTGAATGATCTGAAATGTCCTGGAATGACACATAAACCCATCTGCCCGGAATGACCCCACCCTGACTGCCCCGCGCCCGCTTGCCTGCCTGCCTCGGCTGTGTCGCGTCGCGTAGCGCCTCGAGGCCAGTGTCGCGTCGCGTTGAGCGTCTCATCCCGCTTCCACTACTGCGTCCCGCTTCTGCTTCAGTTCCACGTCACGCATCCCGCGTCCTGCTTCCGCCGGCCGTTGGCCCACTGCTTTCGCCGGGCAATTCCGCGTCAGTTGCCGTGTCTGTGGGTCAAGTCGGGTTGACCCGAATCCTCCAGAAAATTGTCCAGTTTGCAAAAATGGGTCGGGTCGACCCGAACCCGAATAGTATTGGGTCAGTTTTGGATTCGACCCGAACACGACCCGTGACCCAAAATTGACACCCCTACCTCACGGTATACAAATTCTCTTTTATTTATTAAAAAAAAGCCAAGAATGATTGTATTCATATTTGAGAGAAGATGCAACACGCAAGGAAAAAAATCAGAAATTTGAGCATTACCATTACCTACATCCTCGCATCCTTCTTCTGATTTACAGTAGGAAATTATCAAATCCTGGTCACTGGTAATATAAATGTTGTTTGTGTTGCAATCAGGATGCCACAACAAGTGGTCTTCGAAAGAGGTGACCAGTACTCCCCTAAAGTTCCACACAGCAACTGTTCTGTTTCTGAATGTCAAGAAAAGATGATTCTCGTACAGGAAGATGAATGCAGAAGGTGTCATAAATTGTGTCTTGCCAACCTCAGTTAATTCTGAATTTCTAACCTGTTCAAATATTGGAAGTTAGATATGCAGACAGTTACAAATTCTGCAAAATATAAGGATAAGATTGCAAATTCCCTACATCAAGTATCTGAAGATTTTCATTTTCTTGTTTCACCAGAAGCTTCTCATTGAACTGCTCAATGAAGTCAACTTTTTTGTTGCGGTGTAATAAGTGATTGAAAGACTTTAAAATCGTACCATCTTCAATTGAGAGTAACTTTAATGGAACATAACCAGGAGTTCTATGATATATTAACAGCATGATTCCTGGACTGTGATAAAAAAATTATAAAAATCATAGGATGTCAAATAGTATATTCTTGAAAGAATAGTGAATCTGCAATAGATTTTGGATGGAGGAATCAAACCTGATCTTAATTTCTTGTACATTTTTATCAGATATTGAGTATAAAAAGGAGTAGTTCTTTAGGTCAAAGACTTTGTATATTCTGTGAATGAGCGCACACATTCAGACTAATCACTCAACCAACTTAACTCAAAAGATTAATTCACTAAAGGATAAAGTTTACCCATCCTGAGCTGAGTAAGTAAGAACTTTGCCATTGACATCATCAAATTCAACAAAACCAGGCCATTTGAGAGACTCGGTCTCAAAAAGTGGGTATCCTGCATCAAGTTGATTCCTCCTTATATATCTGTCAGAATGCAATTATTAAAAAAATGTTGTCATGGACACAATAAGTTCACGACCAAGAAGATTCATTACTAATTAAAAAGAAAAGTGAGAGGATATCAAAATTTGATAATTCTTGCTTCTAATTCAGCAAATTTCTACCACTGATAAAATATTCATCAAAATAATTAAAAAAAATAAAATAAAAGAACTCGTGAAGGGACTTGAGAAGTCCAAAGAAACAAATCAGTACTGATGTGAAACAAAAAGATATTACAGGAATTTAATAAAATTGTTAAGCTTGCCAATTTATTAGAATGTTCTAAATTAGGAAAGCATTAAAGGGACGATTGGAAATTGGAATCAAGGCAATTGGGGGTTTGGCTTGGCCGGCGGCTAGGGAGGGGTAGACGGTCATGGAGGGGGTCAGTTTGGGGCTTTGGTTGGAGTAGGGCTAGCAGGTGGGGGTCCCTCTCAGAGGTACAATGGTAAAAACTAGAACATAAATAAAAGAAATACATAAAATGCATCACAAATAAAGACTCATAATCGTAGCCATCGATCTTCGATACCTTCTCTTGTAGACGTGTCATAATATCCTGCTGATGTCCTCATCAAGTACTTTCTCCAACATATTTATTTTTGAAATTCTATAAGCAAACTATATATAAACATTTTGAACAGTAATGCGTGTACATACCAAAATTGACAATGCTTCCGAGGGACAGGGAAAACAAAATCATTAAGATACTAACATAAATAATTTGAGCAATTAACAAAAGTTCAAGTTTCTTACTCTATCGGAGTTGTTCGGCATTTTAAGGAACTGAAGTGGTCGGATGCATAAACTGATACAGTGATTAGCGATTCATTGTTCTTGTTATAGAAGAGGCTCCTAATTACTTCATCAGGGCTTATATTCAAGAAGCATATACGTTTGTTTGTTGCTGAAAACAAAAACGCAGAAGACTTCAATCAGAATGAAAGCCAACCAGAAGTGACAATGAAGATAATCTGAAGAACTAACTTACTACGACTAAAGGCTGCACAAAGACCAGACTGAGCAAGGGCAAAAATAACATCCTTTGCTGCAACGATCTCAATAATCTTAGATCTCTTTTTGAGAAATTGTAATTTTAAAAACCAATGAACATTGTGATCATAAGTATCAAACTCCTCCTGCATTATCCTAAAATGAGAAGCATTTAGGCTTCAAGTTAAAATAACATTGGAATGTGGTCAGGTCAAACAGGAATTTGCTATTAGTTTAACTGATAATCAACGAGAAAGCTCTAAACCACTTAGATTCAACTATAAGCCATGAAAACTCATAGATACTCAAAGTAACAGTACCCCTTCGAAGATATAACTATGTATTTCAACATATATAAACATTCCAGAACGGTTCCATGTTAATTAGATGTGTAAGGTTCAGTGAAAATTTTTAATTGCGCCAAGACTAATGAAAACATGCTTATATTGAAAATATGCTAGACAACATAACGAATTCACCTTTAACATGTCTTGCAAATTTCATGATAACTATTATTATATAACCACTCATTAATAGATGTTGCTTTCCATATTATGTGAAAAGTAAATGCATAGTTTCAGAAGTAGAAATAATAACAATCCATATTTGATCAACAACCAAATTGTCTTCTACCCAAATTCTTCCTACATGGGTATAGGACTGAAGCAAGTGGAGTTTTAGGAAAACTAAACAAGTATATAATCAAACCAAGCCAAATCCTACTTGACATCATTCCTATCTTGAACTTCTATAAACTCTCGCTTAGAAAATCAGAAGAACAAAGACAGGGACATAAGTATCCTAATCCCGTTGGACTAATCTTATATTTCCATTGAGCCAAAATTGCAACTGTGTGATACAACTCACCTTGTTAGTCCATTGAATATCTTAAGTTGTTTTTGATGGTGGCAAAACTAAAATAGCTTTGGCTTTGTTTCGGTTTGTTTTGATGCCCTTACAAGTAAGAAACTAAAAAATTTACTGCTACTGCACCTAGGGACATTTCTATGGATCGAGATGCTTATTAATTACTATACTTCTTCAAAATTATGAACGCTTCTGCAAATCTAGGATGTGTTGGGCTGGACTTCTGCTGTTAATAAAATATTAATATAAACTTAAATAATTCGATCTTTCTAACTTTGAAGACAATCCATAATTCATTGGTAAGTTGCTACAACAGTTTTAAATCAAAATGACATGGCATTGTATCCATACAATAAGTTGCCAGTGATGAAATTGTTTTCTCGCAATGGGAACAAAACATTTTTATTTGAAGATAATCATAGAAGGCATTAAGAAAACTTATTATTGAAAGCCAACTATCGACTCAACTAACTTGCAATTTTGTGGGAATGGATAATTGTCCTTTAAACATGCCAAGTTCAAATTCATAAAATCTATGCATATTCTCCGCTTTCCTCTTGACTTTTGATTCATAACTACATTTGAATTTCAATCAGGGTACTATACCTATCACACAAAATAAACCTCCAATAGCTTGTAAAATTCACAAAGAATTTGATTCAATTTATTATTGATCTTACGATAACTTAGCAAATTCTTTGTTTCATTAGCCTTATTAATTTGTCAATGTTGAATAGGTGACATGCAACATTGACATTGACCACTGACATTTCTGAAGCAAGGTTAGAAACAAATAGCATTAACAGGTTCATCCATCTACCTTGGAACAACTTATGCGATAATTCTAAGCATATGTGTTGGGTTATCTTCTAACAAAACAACTTCATTAATTGCTTTGGAGTTATTGTGTCTAATGACTCTCTAAACATCAAACTCAAAACCTCCACCTAGATGCTTTCCATCCCCTCCAAGTAGCACCACTGGAAATGCAACAATTTTCTGCAAACAATGATGGTGCATCCTCTTGCTAGAAATTTTATAGTGACATGATATGTTAATACTTAATACTACTACTTTAAAAGTATTGAGAAGCACATTAATAAATATTTCATTGTAAGTCGTTAGGGGGTCAACTGTGATGAAATCAACCATTGATGCAAATTGTTGATTGCCTTCCCCCAAAATGATCAGTAGTGCAATCATTTTCATTACAATTCCCAACATTCAAAAGAGAAATCATAAAGCAATGTAACAAGTACCAACCTTAAACAATTATGGTTCATGCTTCCAAGGATACTTCTAAAGATAAGATTCCTTAGGTTTTAATGTCTATAAGAATATTGTCAATTTAAAAGTATGTGAGGAGCACCACGACAATAATCACATCAATGCAGGGATTGTCATTTGCAGGCTTATCATTGTTAATGAAGGTGGTTGGCGCCACCTCCATCAATGTTCTTGATGTTGAGATAGCATGCACCTCTCCCAATCAAAGTCACTTAGACATGATGCTTCAGTTCCAACTCCTCCAAGAATTGCTACACTACTACTCTGTGAATCACATGCATCGAGACAAGCTCTTTCCATTATTCTTACAACTAGGGTTGTCCTTTAGGTTTAGTTAGGATAAATTCTTTCTTTTATATACAAATTTGCTCTTTAACCAAATAATAGAGATGGTGACAATCCTCCATATCATGCTCATGGTCTTCAGAAACACACAATATATTGATGAATCTCAACCATCCAGTCTTGCTTCATTAGGGTTGCAAACCAAAAATGTTATTTAACGTAAATCGCATCCATGATTTCGATAAGAGAAACACAGTGAAAGTTGGGTAGTGCCAAGATGGCAGGAGCGTCTACCTATTACTATCAGAGTTTTGATCTCACATATCCGGGAGGAAGTATAAAATAAGGAACATTAAATTAAAGAAAAAAAAAATAGAGCAACATCTCCTCAAGATAGACTTATTGGGTTTGGAAATGTGCATCCACTAAACAAGTACATAATGTTCGTGTTGGAGGATTAAAGAGAAGGGACAGGCTTAAGATAACATGGATAAAAATGTTCAAAATAATTTACGAATGACAGGTTTAGCTCCTTAGACAACAATCCACGAGAATGAATAAAAAAGAGGCTTCATCAAGCTAATCCCACATAGTTGGGATAAGGCTAGATGATGATAATGATATGGATCCAAGTGTAGAGCAATAAACAAGTAATTGATAGCTAAGTTAAGGGTAATTGGGCTAAGAATATTAAGATGAACACGTGGCCAAAGTTAGAATTAAAGAATGCTAATAATAGAGGAACACTTTGGACATGGACAATGGAGGGTAGAAATTGCAGCCATCAGATGGGTTGATTATAGTAGCATTGAAAGATTAGAAAGGAGAAAGGTTAGATATAAGTTAGAAACCATAAAATTTGTTCAAAATGATAAGCAAAAATTAGGTTTAACTATTCAAGCAACATTCAAGAAAAAAGTGAATAAAAAATGAGGATTCATTAAGTCAACAACAAAATAATTGGGATAATGCTAATAATAATGATATAAATGCTACTTGAATTACTTATAATTGTGTATCAAATCACGTACTTTTTGACAATTTTATTTGAGCTAAATGCCTATTTAATCCATTAAATTTATTAAAGATGATTTTGTGTTGATTATCAATTAATTTTATTAATTATTTAATTACAATTATTATATATTTATTCCATTTCATTCATTAAGTCGTTTACATAAATTTTTATATATCATTTTATATCTTAATGTTATAAAATCATTATGTCATGATACAAATAAAAACTTTCACTTATTCACAAAACAATCATTGTATGGCTAATTTTTAAGAGTTGTTTGGAATTGATTATGCTTCTTCTTTGCATGTGCGAAAAAATTGCACGTCTTTATGAAAATGTCATTGAATGGCTAGTTTTTTTGTGTTGTTTGGAATTGATCATATTTCCTACTTCTAAGGCCAAAATTTAATGTTTTAAATTGGTTTCACTCTCCATTCATCTCCTATGTAAATTTAATGTTCTAATAGCTTAAAATTAATTATTTCACTCGAAACCAAAATAAGAGGTTTGGAGAAGAATTTGTGTCAAAGAATTTCATCATCTTAAAGAAGGTTTAAAGCGTTCATGCTCTTTTAACTCTTCTTGATTACAATTGGTCTAACACCTTTCTCCCTCAATATCTTAGTTTGTATTTAAGTTCTGCTCTTCTACATTAGATAATCATTTGTATAGAGAAAGTATTGTATTTAACAGTAATAATTTATTGGTGATAGACTTATTCACTACCAAAACCTTGGAAAACTTTGAAAGACTTTCCTTGATTGTTGTTAAGCTTTGGAATGGTGCACTCAACTATAATCAAGGTAAGGGGTTATTCCCTTTGAAATAATAATGTGTATCAGCTTCTCCACTATCTTGCGAGCAAATGAGTGATTGGTACTAGAATCCTAAGTGAAAGAGAGCTTAGGTCAGGTTGTGCCAAACCATAAAAGTTGTGCTTGTCCTCCTTATCTATTCCTGGATTAATTTTAAATTGCACTTTCATTGAGTTACATTCTTGTGATGATCAATGATTATATGATAACATGTTGGTGGTACAATGTTACTTTTAGATTGATCTTTATAATGTCACATACTCTCTCAACATTTTGTTAGACCGGTCCACTGGACCGGTCCAGCCGGTCCAGGCGGGACTGGTTCACGCCCGAATATCGCGAAACAGGCGATTTGTTCGCCTGGGCGGAGGCCGCGCGCACCGCACGCCTTGCGGGAGCAATATAGGAAGCTTTTTTGAGGAAATTAAGAGGGGAATTTGAATGTAGGGACTGTTTAGGGATTTCCTTTTGATTTGTATGCATTAAATAGTAGATTTTCCTAGGGTTTGATCATCTTGAATTTGGCTGAAATTTGAGATCTCTTAGATTTAGGTTTCTTTGGGCTCTAGCGGCGTCTAGAGATTTGGGAGAGATCGATCCTCCTCTCGAATTGAGGATCAATTGTATCTTGCTCTTTTATTCATCGTCTAAGTGGAATACAAGTCTTTTCTTGAGTTTTCTCTCGTATTTTCCCGAACAAGTGCTGTTTTTCTGCTGTAAACAGCAGAAATCTGCTGTTTTCCTGCTGTGGACAGCCATTTGGCTGCTGTTGGTTCGCCGATTTTGGATAGGTTGCTTGTGAATACAAGCACTTCCTATCAAATTGGTATCAGAGCGTCGTTTTTGGGACCTTAGGCGGCTGAAATTCTAATTT